TAGCGAGATGATCTTCAATAGCTTGACACAAGAAAATCCCCGACCCCATAAGCGTGATTGTCTGTATCCATTTCTTCACCGAATGCGGTTCACGCATATCCAGGTTCGTCAACCATTGCTTAACTCACGCGATGACACTGCGGAGATACGACGTAGGAGTATGAGTATGTCAAAGTTCAACGAGCGCACCAACGATAAGGACGACCCGAACGCTTGCTCGTGGTAAATCCTGGTCAGCCGCCATATCATCTCGAATGTGTGAAGGCTTGGAATCATGTCGGACAGAAAAGGAGCATCGCAGGAACCCCAAAAAAATACATTTCGTCTTGCCGGCGTGATTGGTGTGTTCGCTGTTGACTTGAGTAGATGGTGTGCGTAGGCACGAGCAAATCGCGGCGCAGTACACGTGACGGACTTGGTCCAGACGTCTGCATTCAACTTGTCTTCCATCGCCGCACACCAATGAATGCTACTTCATTAGCTGACCACAGTCACACACAGCTCCACAATCCTTCCTGCTCACCATCTTTCGACAATGGTTGGCCTCTACGGTATCTCGTACGTACAAGGTACTACAATTCAAGTGTCTTCGCGCTCTCCCCGGTCCTTGGTCAAATCCAGCTGACCACGATGGAACTGAAACTGGCGCGGACAGCCATCGGTCGACCTCGCTTGACCAACGGTTTCAGATCAGGACTTTACGAGTCGAGGCGTGCCAAAAGATGGATGGTGATAGCTTATCGAAGCTCAGTCTCGACGACGGCCCTTTTTACCTAGTCGGCTTTTCACCGTCTCCAGAATCTCGACGCACGCGCCACTCCCCCTAAAAATGGCCGACCGATGGTGCTATGTTTCAGGTTCTGCACGCCTCGACAGCCACATTAGTCACAAAAGGGGCAAACCTTAAGCCCTGAGAGATGTCAACTCCAGTGTCACTGGCTTCCCGAGATGGGTTTTTCTCCGAGGCTGAAGTGATTGGGCCAACCATCACAACTAAGACTCGGGATGCACATCATCACTGCAGCTGTCTACGAGCACGCTCTCGTTGGCCACTCATTTATGCGATTTTACAAAGCCCCCAAACCTTGAGAGCCGATCGATGCTGCAAGGAATTCGAGGGAATGTTCAAATACGCGATTCGTGGCATCCATCAAGCTTGGGGAATAAGCCTTCCATTGATCTCGTGGACGTCCATGACTCTTGAAACATACAGAAGCTCCTGGTCTTGCGCTTGAGGTCACTACCAACGGCGAAAAGGTGGCGCAATTGCAGCGAACATGGTCAATCCTGGCAAATCTCCGACAAGTGGCCATTGCGCCCTAGCGAAGGGACCGGGGACGGAATCTAGATGCGAGCTGCTCGAGACAGTCAGCGACAGCTATCACCACTTGCTGTACCGAGTACCTGGCCGGGATGTTTGTTGCCCAGAACTCACCCAGGCCGACTCCAGGTCAATGTGAAACATTCCAGAGAGCAAAGTCCCCAGACGCTCGTCTAGCACTTCCATTGTCGGCGCCGGCCTTCCACCCTACTGAGCCAAGGCTGAAGCAATGGTGTAACACCAGAACTCATGCTTGATTTGAGCCGCTAGGAGGAGTGGAAAAAGCAAGCTACGTGTTTCAGACTGTGCTGCTGGCCCTCGGAAGAGCTCGCTACGACAAGTCATTGTCACTTTTTTCATGACAAATGCCCGCCCTTCCTTCTCTGGGGATCTCTAGGGGCATGCGAGTGAGCGCCGGAGAGAGAGACACTTCCGGTTGAGCCTAGCGAAGCGGTGATATCAGCAGAACGGAGATCTTGGTAAGGTAGCGAGTGCCTCGCACAAGCCAATGTTCCCTCTATTCGAAGTGCGGAGTGCGCAGGAGAAGAAATACTGCAAATGGAGCTGACTTCGCGTCTCTTTACAAGATGTATGCAGTCGAAGTTAGGCGGTGAATAGACATAATCATCATTATCGTCGTCGAGTCTTGCCACGTGGTTTAGAAAAACCCTGTCCCTGGATATCGAAGACGTCTTTCTTGCTGAGCGTCAGAGTTCCTCCTCGAAATTTGCCCACAGCAGGCACATCGACGCCACGCTCTCTTCGGGTGTCTTTGGGCCTCGTTTTTCCCGAGGCTTTCTCCAGGATGATGCCATTCTCCTGGGCCTCCTTTCTCCGGCTAGCCTCCCGCTCTGCCGCCTTCGCAAGGATCCCCCTTCTATGCGCCAGCGGCATCTTCTCCTGATGAAACATGGACCCCTTTGAACCCAAGGCCTGCATTCGCATGTCCACCATCTTGTGCCGATGGGATCCTAGTGTGGGTGATGCCTTTGCTTGCTCGAGTAGATGGGATTCTTTCAGGAGTCGTTGAAGGTCGAGGTCATGTTTGAGATTCAAGGCTTCGGCAGCGTCATCATCGTCGCCCTGCCTGGCTGAATCTTTGGTGACTACACCATGTATCTCCTTTGGGGGTCGGGAACTCTGTCGCAGGGGTCAGTCCAAAGTTGTAACCACTCAGTCGAAGTAGGGACTTCCTCCTCACCATGAAGGTCTTGTAGTGTTGCCTACGAGTCTTGGCTTCTTCTGCCAGGTCACTGGCTGCGCGATGTTCCACCACCTCAACTGCGCCGTCCTGGTGCCCTGAATCCGAGAGGCCATCCCACTCCGACTCTTCCTCGACAAAACCACTGTCCCCTACGCCGCCTTGACTCTCTTCCTCTTCCTCCTTTTCTGGCGCAAGGAGCGCAGTAGTCTTAATCTCTGGCAGAGGTTCGAAAGCGGACTCGAAATATTTGCGGAATATTTCTCGATTGGCGTCGAGAGGCGTTGTGAGAGTCTGTCGTTCGTCGTCTTCCCTGTCGGAAGAGCGCAATCTTTGTCGAGTCGTAACAGCGACTTCCCGTTTCCGCTTCCCTAACATAGTTGAGAACAGGTATTGGTGATTCAGATTCAACAGCGAGACGTCGATGTCATACTTTAATGCCAGAGTCAGAGTTGGAAAATGGTACTGTTGACGGCATCGTACAGAATTCGGGGCTGATCCAAAAAGTTTCCAGTTTCCGGTTTCCCATGCGCCCCCAACGCGTCGAATTTTGATTGGCGGAATCTTTCGTGTGCCGCAGTCACACCGCAGCTCAACCAGCCCTGCCAGCGCCTTGCTCCTCTTCAAGCCTTGGATCGAGTTTGGCGCTTCTAATGGGTTTGGGAACAGAAAACCAGAGGGCGGACACTACTGGCCGTACGGTGAGGTGACTCGAGTGTTACCCCATGCATATTATAGACATGGACTCGGACGCACTGCTCGCAATGTCAAAGGAGAAGGGTACACTGCTTACTACACGCGTGAGGGGATTAGGCGGCAGAAGGAGAAGCACCAGCCCCGAAAGCACGGCTGTCTCATTGACCTCGTGAGCAAGGAAGAGGAAGCCAGTGAGACGAGGAGGTCTACTAGGTCTAGCAAGAGTAGATTATCAGTGCAACCCACGCCGAAGATGACCAGATGGAAGTCAGTATGTCTTCTCCGTTGCGGAGATCCGAATTAATACTTGATCTTTGGGAAAAAATTTATCTAAATCCCCCACTTCCCTCAATAATTGCACTGTAATCCCACATCGCCTCCTATCTATACAATATCAGTGACCCTCCAGCCCAGAACGGGGGATCTTGAAACATCATCAGTCCATTCGCTACAGAAACTTCCTCCTCCATGACCCGATTCCGACCCTGCATCGACCTCCATGCCGGCCAGGTCAAACAGATTGTCGGCGGCACCCTGAGCGCCCAGGAATCCGAGCTGAAGACCAACTACATCTCGCACCATCCGGCGGGACACTTTGCGACTCTTTACCGCGACGCCGATCTGTCGGGGGCTCATGTTATCATGCTGGGGCCGGGTAACGAACAGGCTGCGAAGGAGGCCCTCGCCGCCTGGCCAGGACGCCTTCAGGTGGGCGGTGGCATCACCGATGCCAACGCAAAGGAATGGATCAACGCTGGCGCTGAGAAGGTAAGCACAAGGCGATTCATTCCACTGCTCATCATCATCGCCGAACTCGCATCCACTCCCGTACATCCGTCCCCCAAAATAACAGACATATCTAACGCTCAAATACCAAGCAGTAGGTCATTATCACGTCGTTCCTGTTTCCGAGCGGCCGCTTTTCCCTGGATCGACTGAAATCCGTGCTCTCGACGCTGGGAGACGACAGGGACAAACTCGTCATCGACCTCAGCTGCAGGAGGAAGGGCGATACGTGGTTCGTCGCCATGAACAAATGGCAGACCATCACCGAGATGGAGATCACCAGAGGTAGGGATCCCTCGCGATGTGGCTGTTTTCCTCAATTCGATACGCTCACACAAACCCACCGCAGAGAGCATCGGCATGCTCGAGCCCTACTGTTCGGAATTCCTCATCCATGCAGCCGACAACGAAGGTCTTCAGCAGGGCATCGACACCGAGCTCGTCACGAGGTTATCCGACTGGTGCACGATACCGGTGACATATGCTGGCGGCGCCCGCACGGTGGCGGATCTAGATCTGGTGAAGCAGTGTAGTCAAGGCAAGGTCGATTTGACCATCGGCAGTGCTTTGGACATCTTTGGCGGAAGTGGAGCCAGATTCGAAGACTGTGTCAGATGGAATGCAGAGAATGCCTGACCAAATGCTTGTCACCGACCGGGACTTTCTCCCATCACGACGTCGACGCCACCGCTGTTGCTTCTTACAAGGCTGTCCAAAGTCTCCTGGGGCACTTCTTCGCCGCCAGCGCCCTGCTGAGCAGCAATAGTCTCATCAGCACTATCCATTCCGCCGTCCAGATCCATGTCCTCCACTACCGCATCATTCCTCCGGTATCCCAGCTTGATCATCCATGTCTGGCCGTCCACCTCCCTTTTTACCTCATATCCAACCTCGGCTTCCTCGACGAATTCGCCTCTGCGAAATACCCGTCGTCCAGCCCCCCACCTACACCAGCCTGCGGCATTCTTCTTTCCTCTGATCCTCCACTTGCGGTTTCTATGCATCAGCTCGCTGGCTCGCTTGATGCTTTCCAGCAAAGCGTCCCAGTCCAACATTGACGCGGAGGATCGGTACGCGCCTTCGAGGAGTAGTGGGGCTTGCGAGGGTGACCGCCGGGTGTTCTGCGACAATAGCGAGTTTGCGCAAGAATCGTCTTCCTGCCCTAGCGTCTGTGGTACGGATCTCGTACGAGAGGTGGGGATTTGCAGCACTTCGTTGTTCTCCCTCCACAACATCATACTGGCACACAGGACTTTGAAGTCCAGCTACGGGGACTCTCGGACAGAGGTTAGCATTTCGGATTTTTCTCGCGAGCGAAATGGAGGGGGGCCCAAATTCATAAGAATGGCGAAAGCACTTTTGAGATAGGAGGTGAAGAGAGAGGGTGAGGATACTCACATTGATCGCCGCTGTGGCTACACGCGCGATCCACCAGTCCATGTGGAAGCCCATGGTCTGTGGTAACCTGGCACGTCTCACGACTCGACGAGGCTGAGGTGCGTTGTGAACGGTGCCTTGATCCGAGTCCGCGTCCCAATCAATCGACTCTTCCGAGTCATCGTGTCCGTGTGCATCGTTCTCCTCAATATCTTCTGCCTCGTTCTCTCCAGGGACGGTTCTTTCTTTCGCAACATTATGACTGTAACCTGTCCTGCTGGCGGCCTTCGGTGGATTGGAAGCAAAGCGTCGCGACAGCGCCACGATCGACGTCTGCGATGGCAACGTACCCTGCACGCCATCTGCCAGAGCTAGAGGGTATCCTGGCGGCGGGGAGGAGCACGCTTCGAGAACCGTCTCGTTCGACGACGACGAGGACGGGTAGGAGGAACGGCCACGGGCCCGGCGTTGCATGGTGGTGGTGGGTGGTGTTGCGTTGTTGATCCGGTCTTCCTGCGTAGACACATTTGGGAAAGGATGATGGGTGATTGAGAGGATCTCGTGGCGCGCAAATGTTAATCGTTGTTGTTGTCTAGTCCCGTCGTGCCATAGGAAGCGCGTCTTAGATAGACACTTGCAACAAAGTGACAGTGGATGGAGGAGAATTACCAGAGGTCACAGCGGGTTTTGCTTCACCCACTCTTAACTGAAATGATATATTTCACTTCCACTGGCTTTGCTTGCGAGGATTCTCTTCCCACGGTTTCTTTGTGACTATAAATTCCTCTTTTATTACGTTGGTGTATCGAGGATATCTTGAATCGCAAATACAATATTTTACCTGGTTGGTTTATTCATATGAATGTCGCAAACTATCATACCACAACCAAAGTCGACTATTGACCATATACCTGAATGCAAGAAAACACTCTCGTACACAAATCAATAGAGGGACCAGTTCACTTCATTGTCAAGTAGGAATGTGGCATATACTTAGCACGACGACGGATAAATTATTTTCACAAACGGTTAACTGAGAGTAATATGTGGATGATCATATCATTTGATTCAAGCTACCTGATGCGGTGCCGTTGCTCACTTGAGCACGAGTATCATAGGAAATACATTGTCATATCCGAAGCTCGTGAAAACCACCTGCAAGGATACTGCTGGTTGTGTATTGACCATCATTCAACCGCTTGGACCGTAAGGTAAGAAAACATTCTTAGGAACTGTTGCAAGAGGGTATTGTAGGTCGAATTGTAGTCTCAAGGTCGAGACGTCTAGTGAGTAGCAGCTTGCTTGTTGCCCTCAGCGGATGCCTATTACATTTGTTAGATGGTGACAAAAAGGGACAAGGTTAGGGACATACAGAGTTCTTGGTCTCGTCAATCTTGTCACCAACGGCGTCCTTTGCTGCAGAAGCACGGGTTCCGAGGGATGCGTCAGAGTCTTTGGCGACATTCTTGTTGGCCTCCTTGGAAGCACCAGAGGTGACTTCGTTGACCTTGTCACCGACGTAGCTACCGAAGCATCAATATCACGAAGACATGACAACACGTAGGATGGCAACATACTTGGCAGTGTTCTTGATGGTATCCATTGTGGATGAAGTTTGTGATTTGATTTGAATTTGGATTTGATATGAGAACTTTGATGGATTTTGAGAAACGGTCTGGTGGATGATGGAAAGGAAATGGAAGTGGAATGAGGGAGAGAGAGATACTTATAGTCAGGCAGAATGAGTCTGCGTACGATGTCACTGCCGTTTGCCTGCTTTGCCTGCTGCCCCGCGTTACGACTTTCACGTGTGACTTCCTCCTTCACAGTCATTGACTCTTTCCTTGGGCTACCTTTGAATCCCCCACTTCCGTTGCCTGGATAGCCAGTCACATTGCTCCGCGACCAGAGTCAAACAAAGGAAATCGCGTCTAAGATTTCAGCTTGATTCAGTCTGAGGTCATTCGAGATGCTCTGCCACCGATGACCACCACAATGCTCTCGGAGATACTATGACGTCCTCGGACCTGCTGACACCCACTTACTCGTCCTTGATACTACCTGCCCACCAAACCCAGGAAGGTAAAAGTCAATGCTGAACAAAGAGTAGATCCATGATTTGAGAGGTGACGACATGAGATGGGAAGGACCCACAACTGCGCTAACAATTTCCGCCAATTATACCACAAGCTATGTGGCTGCCTGTGGCTGATCGTGGCTTGCTTGTGGCGCTCGGATCTCATTGGGGCTTCGTCATTCGAGATTTAGGAATTTAGATCCGACCACAGACACGACTTGTGGCTGTCTTTCTTTTCTATCATGACGTATGACGACAAGCACAACTTGCTACAAGGATGATTTGTGCCATGTGACACCCGGGTTCTTCCTCATTTGCTGCAGCTCAGCAGCAATGACAGGGAACGATCACGCCCGATCACGCCAACCACTAAGAGCATCAGCTACGAACCACCCCAAGGCGCTCTTCGACCGAGGACCACGGCACCAAACTTCGTCATCCCCCTTTAAAAGTGCGGAATAGCATAGCCTTCTTAAATGGATATCTGGGAAAATCTTTTCCCTTGTTAGGCTCTTATTACGGAGATCCTCAGAAGCCGCATTTGACACTTGCTTTCCCATGTGCCACGCTATGCGCCTTTCCCATCGCGCCTCGGGCTGTGTGTTGTGAACCTCAGGTAGTATCTGATAGAACAGCATGTCAAGGCTGGCCTGATGTATGACAACGGCAGTTCACGTACCCGTCAGGATCGTTTAATCTGAAATCCTTCAGTCCCCAATCCTGCAATTGGATGTTGGCGTCCAGCTTCCATCCCTTGGCAACAATGAAGTCTCTCTCCTTTTCCAAGTCGTCCACTTCGACTACTATCTCAATTCCTTTCTTCGGACGGCGGTAACTTGCTTTCTCTTCAAGCGTCTCGGTCGATCCTGTCTCGATGGCGCCGATGAAGATGTTGTCGCGCCCGAGGTAGGCGTAGTCGCCATTCCGCTTGATCAAGACAAAGTTGAGGATGGTGGAATAGAAGTCAATCATCCGTTGGAGGTCAGATGGGAATATTTCAATGCGCAACGAGGCTGGCATCGTGAGCACAATATTTCGTCAGAAACCGAGGTGTTTTCCCTCCCACAATCTACTTTGATCATGCTCTCGCAGTCCATTGAACAGACTATACCTTTGTATTTATACTTTGAAGCTGTTCCTCCAACGGAATCTTTCGCTTCACAGACAACCCGGCCTTTCACCCTCGTGGCATTGGGGCTCTGCAACGTCGCTGTCACCCAACTTTGTCAGCGACGAGGTCTAGAGCCCAATCGACCATCGGCCAGTCGGTTTCCTTGGCATTGACTGACTCAGCAGATGTTCAGATGTAACACCCACGTGATGCTTCTTCTGGTCCTACAGGATACACGTACTCGGATTGAGGCCGTCGAGAAACCGAGTGGTCTCGATATTACAAAGGTCGCCTTGGAGGACGGCCAAGATATCCTTGCCACACCGTGTTCTGGTCAAAGGGCACCAAAATTAAAAACGCCAGGCCTTTGGTTCTGGTATAGATATGACCATTGCAGAATCCACCGACAGTGATGGTGATAACCATTTATTGACTGTAACATTACTCGAGTGTATTAGTACCTAAGAAGATATAAGTACTTCCGAATGCCATCCGTCTTTTCATCCCACGGTTGATAGTCGATCAAATCCCCTCCCCGGTCAAGAAATCCAGCATCAGCTTCGCTATCTCCTCCGTGTGACTCTCGACTAAAAAGTGTCCACCTTCCAACAACACCAGCTTCAGGGATTTCACATCCCTCCTGAAGGCTTCCGCTCCCGAAGGCGGGAAGATGATGTCGTTCTTGCCCCATACCGCTAGCACAGGAACATTGCTCTGCCGCATGTACGCCTGAAACTTGGGATACAGTGCGACGTTAGTGCCATAGTCCCTGAACAGATCAAGTTGGATCTCCTTGTTGCCCGGCCGGCACATGAGGGCGTAGTCGAGGTGATATGTCGCCGGATCATCAATCTTTTCAGCTTCGGGCTCTCCATGCAGATACTGATCCTTTGTGGCCTCAAAAGACAAGACCGCGCCCGAAATCATCTCGCGCAATTGCTTCTCCTCGTTAGACCCGGTATCAGAAGCCCATAGTTTCCGAAGAGGATCCCAAAACGACGACAAGCCTTCTTCATAGGCGTTGCCATTCTGAGAAATGATGGCTGTGATAGCCTCTGGCCGCTCAAGCGCCAGGCGAAATCCTGTCGGGGCACCATAATCAAACACATACACCGCGAATTTCTGGATATTGAGAACGTCAAGGAAGGCTCCGATTGTAGTCGCGAGATTGGCGAAAGTGTACTCGAAGTTCAAGGAGGCAGGTATTTCTGTGAAACCAAAGCCAGGTAGGTCTGGAGCGATAACATGGTATTTATCGGCGAGAATAGGGATAAGTTTCCGGTATTGGTTTGAGGAGGACGGAAAACCATGTAACAGGAGAATTGTGGGTTTGCTTGGAGAGCCTGCTTCCCGATAGAAGACTTTGATGCCATTAGGGAGAGTCGTGTACATTTTGAATAGGGTCGATGGGGGATTGACTGTATGATGGTCGCCTGTGCTAGAAGTAATTTGAGCTCGGTTCTCTGATATCTACTGAACGACTCGAAGACGTGATGGGATATAGGGACTTAACCTGCTATATATACCTGACCTGATGCTCGAACAAGATGAGTGAACACAAAGGCTCAAGCAACTCGACACAGCTCAAGCTCGAGCTGTAGCTTAGCCCGTAAACAAGCTCCCAGATCCAATTAGGCCTCATTATACAGACCTATTGAAACGTCATCTGACAAACACAGATATCTCAAGCTCAACAGGACACTTCTGAGAGTTTGCCTAGAGATGCGATATGACATTCTTTGCATTGATATTTGATCTTGGAACCGCTGACAAAGAAGACTAGAAGAGCAATTGGCGCAGTATCTGAGTTTTGTCACTTTAAGCCTGCATGCTGGTCGTCCACGGAGATGCAAGGATGAGGAAAGGAGGAGTCTAGTAGTTGGTTGTAGACAAGTCGCCGCTCCAAGATGACCTCAGAGGCACCAAAAGTGGCAGGATATATGCGTATGCTTTGGAAATGGCGAGAACCGCCACGGCAAAAGAGCAAGCTCCAATTTCTGTTTCGGGAAATCAAAACTTGCCCTGAATGGCCTAAGGCATCCTAGACATCCCGCTCTTTTTGCGCCTCAGGTCAGCGTGATGTCAAACTCACCAACTCAACCTCCAATTACATATCACGGCTGAACTACATTCATCCACATGGTATCGCTCTTCGTGGCTTGCCATTTTTTCTCGTGCTGCTTTGCAATTAGGCCGATTGCTGCTTTTGATGACACCGCTGACCTGCGCAAACTGTGGAGTAGATCTGGCTGATACCACCGCGTTCGGGAGTTGTTCCCTGGGTCT